AAAAGGTAAACACATAAAGAAATGCCCCTCGGGCACAATACCAACAGAATCAGCCTCGGGCAACACATGGAATAATAACCAGCCTCTCGGGCTATATCTCACATAACCATGGGTATTCGCGCTCACTGGGGGTGTGCAGACTCCTGGAGGGGCCCCTTACGGCCCAAGCGCAATATCAAGCCATCTCGTGGCATAATCACATAGGCTCTCGGCCTCATATCAACAAGCCACCTCGTGACGTACAAATCTCAAGCCCTCTGCATCATAATCATAATCAAGTGTTTTCTCACAACATAGGCCCTTAGCTTTACTCAGTCGAAATTCTCACAAGCCACTCGGGTAACAGTAAAACATGATGTTCAGCCCAAAATATCATTTAAAATATCATTTTAAGTTTTAAAGCAGAGTAGACATGGCTACGTTATGAAAACAGTAGAATATAGCATGACTGAGTACAAGTATAAAGTCAAAACAGTGAGAAAATATCAGTAAAATCCCCCTAAGGGTTCAAATAGTTGGCACGAGGCCCAAATATGGCATTCAGCCCCAAACATGATGATAGCAAGTAGTTTTCAGTCAAATGCATGGTAAAATAGTCATTCAGGATGGACTAAGTCACAATCCCCAATAGTACACAACCCCACCCTCGTCATCTAGCGTGTGTGTCACCTCAATATAGCACAACGATGTGCAATCCGGGGTTTCATACCCTCAGGACAATATTTACAATCATTACTCACCTTAATCAGGTCCAAACTCTAGCCCGCGACGCCTTTGTCCCCGAATCGGCCTCAACTCGTGTCAAATCTATCCAAAATCAGAATCACGACGTCAAAATATGCTAAGGGAACGAAGCCCATGCGAAAATAATCAATTTACAACATAAATCCCGAAATTACCAAAACCCGACCTCCGGGCTCACATCTCGGAATTCGATAAAATTCACATCAATAGATTCCTTATCTCCCCACGAGTTCATACATATCAAAAGTACCAAAATCCGACCATAAATGGTCCCTCAAATCCTCAGGTCTAGGTCTCCAATACCAAGCCCTAGTTTCCCCAATTTTAACCCTTAAATTCCATTAGTTACAGCTCTAATCCGTGAAATAATACCATAGGAACGAATTTTTAGGTCCAAAATCCTTACCTCAATGAAATCCCCTTGAAATCCTTCTTCAAATCGCCCAAAAAGCTCCAAAAGCCGACTTAGAAATGGTGGAATAGCTCAAAATCGCGAAGGAAATAATTTATACCTTCTGGCCCAGGCATTTTGCATCTGCAGCCCCTTCTACCGCTTCTGCGGTACCGCTTTTGCGGTACCACTTTTGTGGTCCTTGAACCGCTTCTGCTGTTTTCACTTAAGCCACTCAGACTCCGCATCTGTGATGCCTAACCCGCACCTATGCCACCGCAGGTGCGGTTCCTCTACCGCTTCTGCGGTTCCTGCCAACTTTCCACTTGGCTGCATCTGTGGCTCCCTTTTTGCTTCTGCGAGACCGCACCTGCGGTCCCCTAGCCGCAGGTGCGGTTATGACAGCAATGGGAAACTTCAGCTGTCACAACCAACTCCAAATCTTTTCGCCAACCATCCGAAATCACCTCGAGGCCCCCAGGACCTCAACCAAAAGCACAAACACATCATATACCACCATCCAAACTTATACCAATCTTCAAAACACCTCAAACAACATCGAATAAATCAAAACACTTCGGATTCAAGCCTAAGTTTCCAAAATCTTCCGAATTATGCTTTTGATCAAAAAGCATACCAAACCACGTCCAAATGACCTGAAATTTTGCACACACATCCCAAATAACCCAACAGAACTATTACAACTCCCGAAATTTCATTCTGACCCCTATATAAAAATCTCACCTACCAACCGGAAAACGCCAAAAATCCAATTCCGCCAATTCAAGCCTAAATCTACTCCGGACCTCCAAAACACATTCCGATCACACTCCTAAGTCCCAATTCACCTCCCGAAGCTATCCGACCCATCAGAACTCACATCCGGGCCCTCTAACACATAAGTCAACATCCGATTGACTTTTCCAACTTAAGCTTCCTCAAAAGAGACTAAGTGTCTCAAACCTTACCAAATCCTTTCCGAACCAAGCCAACCAACCCGATCACATATAGAACCGATAGACAAAGCAATAAGAAGCAGAAATGGGGGAAACGGAACGATAACTCATGAGATGACTGGCCGGGTCGTCACAAACATTCTACTGTTACAATGTGTATTAAGAATTAACCAGTATCGATACATAACCAGTATCGATACTGTTTTTAACTACCTATACTTTTGTCTCACCCATGATAATAATAATAATTTAAACAAATTACTAAAAATAAAATTTCTCCGCAAAGACAACCGTGTGTCAAACCTTAACCACTCCGAAAAATTAGCATTTCCTCTATTTCCTCCCCACCATTTATTTACGTACGAACTCCAGAAAATGCCAATCCTATTCAAGTATCTATACATACACATTAACCTCCCTTTCAATCTGGGCAACAGATACAGAAGAATCATTTTCCACCTTCCCATTTGATTCTTCTGTATATTCATCCCCCTCACATTACCAAAATCCCTTCTCATTCTCCTTACATAATCCAAATTATAGAACAAATTACAAAAGAAAGAAAGCAACAATCATGGGGCGCTGCTGCTGCTGCAACTGCCTCTTCAGCTGCGTTTTCGCATGCATCTGTCAAGTACTCTGCGCCATTATCATCATTTTGGGCGTCATTATTTTAGCCCTTTGGCTCATTTTCAGGCCCAATAAGGTCTACTTCCACATCGCTGACGCCTCGCTCACAAAGTTCGATTTCTCCCCCACGACAAACACCCTCGATTATGATCTTTCCCTCAGCGTTGACATCAGAAACTCCAACAAAAGGATTGGGGTTTACTTTGACAAAATCGAAGCCAAGACTACTTATCATCGCCAAAAGTTTGCCAATACCAATCTTGAATCGTTCTATCAGGACCCCAAGAATACTACTATCTTGAATCCAGTGCTCAAGGGCCAGAGTTCGGTTTATTTGGGAGATAGTGAGAAATCAGATTACAATGACGAGAAGAAATCTGGGATGTACAGGATTTTCACTGTGCTTTACATGCGTATTAGGCTTAAGTCTGGTTGGATCACATCAGGGAAGATTAAGTTAGCAGCTGGCTGTGAGTTGAAGGTTCCTATGAAATCAAATGGTGGATCTTCGGGTACTTTTGAGAGAACCAACTGCGTTATTATACCTTGGGCGCGCCATTAATCTTGGAGTTTATTTCTTTGTTCTTTTTTAATTTCTAGTTTTTGATTTGTTTCTCTATATATTCTTTGGATTATTAGGAGATGTTCTTGATTAAGGGAATTTGTTTTCTTTTGTTTTGTGTTTTGAGATATTACTCATCCCGATTTATCTTGAAAGATAAATTGTTGAGTGTATTGGGATGAATGAACCTAAATAAGACATAACGAATATAGGGATTTCGTACTATCGATCCCCACAAATTTGGGATTGAGTTAGTTAATTCATTGATAAGTTTAGATATTATTCATCTGTACACATAGTATGATCTGGTTATTCTATTGTTTCAATTCTGAATTATCAATGAGTATTTTTTTTGGATTTTCTCTCACTCTGGTTCTGTTTTGTGTTCTGTTTACTCTGGCGATATGATTATGAGGATTGAGAGTGAAGCTTTGCCTTCCTCGCTAAGTTGGAACGAAAGAATGTGATCTAACTTTGAATATCAAGATGCATACATGGACAAGATGAAACACGATCCGCAATTCGAAGTACTTACAATCCTAGAATCTCATGTAAAATGTGCCATGAATTGGCTGTATATATATGTTTCATTTTCGCAGCATATAATGACGAAATTAAATAAGAAGTACGTAGACATAAGGTGGTGTTTTCACTTACGTAGACATAAGATTTTTTCCCCTTTTGAACCATGCAGGTAAGTTCTAACAATTCGGTAAGACTTAGCTTGTGAACAATTAAATAAGATAGGAGAATCAAGTTAATTATACCAAAGTTATGATTTGCTTTCACGACTTGTGAACAACTGAATACGAAAAGTTCTGCCAATTCGATAACTTGGACTTATAAAAGATTTGACAAAATATATAGATATAGAAGAATGAAGGTTATACGAAAGTTATGACCCACCGACATAACTAATTGCCATGAACAATTGAACATAGGCAAGTTCAGTCATTATCTGATTAGACTACTTATAAACAACTTAATAAGTTATATAGAAGAATACCAAAGTTATAATCTGCCATCATAACTTGTAAATGATTGAACACACATAAGTTCAGCTAATCTGGAAAGATTTGTGCACGATTTAACAATCTAAGAGTATGAAGATTGTACCAAAATTTTGTCCCAAGCATAACTTATGAAAGTGTATTTTTTCATTCTTTTTTCTGGCATATAACTTGTGAAAACGGTTATGGCCTATTTGTAGGGGCAGCTCGATGGACTTACGTCACGACCTGAAATCTCAACAAAGGGGCCGTGGTGATGTCTAACACCGTATGTAGGCAAGCCAAAGTAACAGATGATACAACATAAGGAAAAGCAATAAAAGACCGATACTAGTCAATAACGTAACATAAACCACCCCCAAGATCCGGTGTCACAAGTACATGAGCGTCTAAATCCAGTTAAATACAAAGTTTGAAAGAAATACATCACTGTCCGAAACAAAGTGAAAATGGTACAGTAGAAATAGGAAGATGACTCTAGGTTCTGCGAACGACATACAGCTCTACCTCGAATCAATGACTGATAGCTGCTAAGTACCTCACTACAAAAAATCAGAATTATTGTGACGGTTAAATAACGACGGTTCAACAAAACCGCCGCAATATATATCATAATACGGCGGCATTCTAGACGCCATTAGTGCGTAATGTAAAACCGGCGTCTTTTTAACAATTACAGCGGTTCTAAACTGCCACTAAGACAAAAATTTTAATAATTCATTTAATGTTATTATTCCGTAATGTAAGAACTCGTTCATCTTCTAATTTCAAACACCTTCTCTCTCGTTCAAAAGCCCTAAACAGAGTAATCTTTTGCCCCAAAACAGTGATTCCCCAAATCACTGTACACCTTCTCTCTTGTTCTCACTAAACAAGCGATTCCCCCAAATCACTGTAATGTAAGACGTTTATATCCGTTAACGATTCTCCCAAATCCTTTAGCTTTTATGTAAGGAAATCAGATTTAGGTAATGTGTTTGAATTTCACTGATTTAGGTTCATTTATAGCCTTGATAGGTAGCCAAGGAATCTAAAACAGCTGGAGTAATTCTGTATCCCTTTGATGTGGTGCTTTGTTTGAAAGGTTAGTTGCTACCTAAAGCTTGTGCAAGAAATATGTTCTTCTGGTAAAACGATTAAGCTAATTTTATGTATATCGTGTACAAATAAATGATCAGTAATACCTCTAATATAATATCACCTTACAATATGTGACTTTGTTTGTAGCTATGTTTTCAAAGTCTCGTTGAGTTTTCTACTTCACTCCGACTGCTTCGATTGATCATAAAGATTGCATCTATTTCAAGTCAGTCAGGATCAGTCTATGTTTTAAATGTTTAAGTTCTGAGACACTACAATATCTTCTTTCATATATCACTTGCTTTGTGATATATCACAAGTAGAATGCATGTTTTAACGGTTTCATCCTAGATCACATAGCATGAAATAATTTTGATGATTTTTTATAGGATTTAAGTACTTTCTATGTATATGATATTTGTTTATATTTCTGTTAGTCATTTTTGCTTGTTGATATTGAGAAACTAGAATAACTTTTAAGACTCTCTTTTTGGAGTCTCATTAGGCAGTAATAAGTGAGAACTGGGGAGGTTCTTTGTTTCCCAACTATTGCTATTAACATTAGCTGTGCAGTTTGATGACAAAAAATATTAGTATTGCTCATTTGTGAACTAAAGACAAGTTACTTAAGTGAAAACGTAGCATGCTGATAGTATAAATAAAATTAATTTGACGATATGGATAGTTCATGTATGTTGTAGTTTTTGTTTTTCTCTGAATAAGTTTCACTTGTTCTTTTCTTTGTTTATTTCTCGCTTTAGTTTCCGTTTATTCTTCAGAAGTTAAAAAGTGAGATTAAGTGATTACTATTCTTTTGATTTCCATATAGTGGCTATGAACTAGTTTTTTCATTTTTATATTGTGATGTTATCTTATATCTTCTTTTCTAGCCATGCCAATTGATAAATCTTGGATTAGCAAACCACGAAATATACTTGAATACGCGGATGGGCTTAGAAAATTTCTGGATTTTACTTTTGAGTATGGGTCTATTGATGGGCGTGTACTTAAGTATCCGTGCCCGAAATATGGTTTTAACAAGTGGCAAAGAAGAAATGTAGTTGAAGAACACCTGACTTGTAAGCCTTTTTCCAAAAAATTATAAAGTTTGGTATTTGCATGGTGAAGAATCAAATCCAACTATGCCACAAACGTTTCAGAGCACACATGTCATAGAAGAAACTCCGCAGCCCCAATATCCAATGGTAACCATGATTAACGATGCATTTGGGTTCATAGGGAACAATGTCAATGAGCCTGGTGTGTCTTGTGAGCCTATGAATAGTGAAGAAAGATTTAATGAAGAGCATAATGAAGAATATGCACAGTTCTATGAGCTGGTAGAAGATGGCAATCAACCATTATATGAAGGGTGCGCGAAGTATTCCAAATTGTCCTTTCTAGTAAAATTTTATCATATCAAGTGTTTGTGTCGAATGACTGACAAGGCGATGAATATGATATTAGAATTGTTAAAAGATGCCTTTGAAGATGCCAAGATTCTTGTTTCTTTTTATGAGGCCAAAAAAAATCATTAACAAACTTGGTCTTAATTATACCAAGATCCATGCTTGCCTAAATGATTGTATGTTATATTTTAGGGAAGATAAAGGCTTACAAGAATGCAAAAAGTACAAGACATCTAGGTGGAAGGACAATAAAAAGAAGCAGCCTGCAAAGATTTTGTGCTACTTTCCACTAAAGCCAAGGCTACAAAGATTGTTCATGTGCTCTAAAACTGTTGAGTCTATGAGATGCCATTCTTCTGCGGGTAACCAAGATGGATTGATGAGGCATCCAAGGGATTCTCAAGCATGGAAAGCATTTGACTTGCTTCATCCTGAATTTGCTGTAGATCCTCGGAATGTACGACTAGGCCTAGCTAGTGACAGTTTCAATCCTTTTGGAGCAATGGCAACAAACTATAGTATTTGGCCTGTGGTTCTTATTCCATACCATCGTCCTCCATGGGAGTGCATGAAACAAACTTCATTCATTCTTTCAATGATCATTCCAGGAAAACAAATTCCCGGCAATGACATTGACGTGTACTTACAACCTCTTATCCAAGAGTTATTTAGTTTAATTTTACTTTTTAAAACTTTCAGAAGAAACAGGGAAAAGAAGTTGATCGCGGCAAAGTGTGGACTGAGACTCATAGGAGGAAAGATGGGAGTTATGTGAATGTTCAAGCTAGGGAGATTGGGGTAAGTGTCTATCACTATTTTCTGCTTTCTTCTTTTACCATCTCATAATCGGCAGTCAAATATTTTGCATGATTTTTGTGTTATCATTCAGGATCGTTGTATCTCCTTGAGAAATCTGAGCACTCCTTCCTCTCATTTAAAAATCTTTACTTGTAAAATAGACCAGATTAATGGACAAAGTAGAATAAATTTTATTGTCAGCTCACGTCAAAGATGAAGTAGATGGTTCTTGCATGCCAAGTTATGAGACTAGAAAACAATGTTTTTAATTTTGAAGTCATAGTTGGTAGACAGGCTTGTTTCTTTTATTCATATAAAAATAAAAATAAAGCCAGCGGCTACCTTATTGCAAGCTCACTCCTGTAGAAGTCCACAACAACTTTGGTCAAACCAGTGGCACCTAACATTTTTAATAAGGAAATTTAAAATATAATAACAAGTAAACGCACAAGGGAATTAAATTAATTATAACCAGTAATTTGACTTGTAGAGCAAGTATTATGTAAAGTTCCATTACTCAATGTATTCTGAATCACAGCATCCTTTCTTTTTCTTTTTACACAAAAGGACAAAGTAAAAGTTGGTAGCAACATAGAAATTTCTGAAACTGCTTTCTTAGTCTGATTAAAAGTATACAAACTCCGGTCTTGATCTGAGCTTTTGTAATTGTATTTTATCTCTTATGTAGGAAAGAATTGAAGAAATTCGAAGACAAAGACCAGAAAATCGGGCAGAAATTTCACCGAATGACGCGCTTGGTGTAATCTTCGGTCCCGAGCACCCTGGCCGTGTTCGAGGCTTAGGCATGGGTGCAGTTCCAACTGTAGTATTCAAGCAAACATCAAGACGAGGTGGTGGTTCTTATATGGGCGCAGCTAGCACTAGTGCTCCACCTCCACAATGGGTGCAAGAGATGGCAAATATGAGATCACGATTAAATGCGCTAACAAGCTTATTTCAAATGAAAATAGGAAATATCCCGAGGAGTTTGCTCACTTATTTCCGACTCCTTCACAGGTAATTCTTCTCTTTATTTTCGACGTTGATGTTCTGTACCTTGAGATTCTAAAACTTGGGCTGGTTTCAAATTATCTAGGAGATCCATCAAATAAGATTGGACACCAATGTGGCTGCCTTGTGCAAGTGTTCCGGATATAACACCGGAACACTTATTATTGATTTAAGAAGGCATGTGGATGGAGGAAACTCTGAGTTGTATGAAAACTGATTGTAAAATACTTGGAGTGGAAACTAATATGAGTTAAAAAACAAATAGAGAGGCTGAGACACATAGGACTTGTTAAAGAAAAGTCCTCTAAATCAAAGGATGGTTTCTCTGTGGTGGCTTGGCGCTTTGTGGATAACTTAAAGGATCTCCAAATGGTTGGAAGATCCCATGTACCACGTTTGTTGAGAATATTGGTGTTGATATTTTACCATCATCGTATTGTGTTGTGGCCGTTGCTGCTGTAGCATCATGTGTTGTTGTTGCATCATCTGCTGCTGTTGCATCATTTGTTGTTGTTGCTGCTGAGACAGTAACATTTGTACGTTTGTTGGAGGGGCTATGTGGTATGACATTGCAAAGGGATCATCGTGATTGATTGAACTCTGTCCAGGCATTTCATACCCATACCCCGCGCTGTAGCCAGCCTGTTGCAGCTGTATTTGCCTCCTGGATGCATCGTCTTCATATAAACTGTCGAGTAGTAGCTCGAATCCTCCAGCCTGAAGAAAACAATATCATAAAGCTTCACAGATATCCTGCCTAGATACAGTTTCAGTTAGCTTCAATTGTTGCTCCCTGTTAAAAATTTGTCCATCCTTCATCACCTCTGGATTTATGGCAGGGATCCTTCTAGCTTTTGTCCTTAGCAATTGCTTGTAGAATCCAAGAATTTCTTCAGTAATTGCCTCTTCATTCTAAATTAATTGGCCATTTTCCTTTACCAGACTGTTTATCCTATGTTGTCTTCATTGAAGCATAAGAAAAGGAAGTATTTGGATCCCCTAGCCTTAGCCACTGATTCCTGTATTTCTATTTAGGCTTAGCCAATTTCTATTCCTGTATTATCTTGGTTCCTCCAATTTCAATGTTAAGTTATGCAGGCACCCAATTTAGGAGATGGTGTTGGAGATGGCATTGGAGATGGCGTTGGAGATGACGTTGGAGATGGTGTTCCGTCACCAACTGAGCCTAGAAGATCCTTTGACGGAAGTAACTATGAAAATGGAGAAACCAATAATTAGTAATCATTGTTAGGATGAACTATGTTTTTTTGTGTTGTAACTATTGAGTAACTCTCTTAACTCTACGCACCTTAAACTTGAATCTTGGATGATGTGGATTTTGGGTATGTTTTAATGATGAATATTTTGCTTATCTAAGTCTCAACTATAATTTATGTTAATTATTATGATGGGTGCTTGATAACATATTATGATGGATTTGTGCAGTAGAAATTAAAGGATAAAGGATCTAAATGTGGAATTGAAAAATTAACATTAAAATATTATAATTATGGCAGTATAAAATGGCTATAATTTGAAATGGAGTGGACAGAAATTATGGTGGTTCCAAACCGCCACAATAAGCAAAGTAAACAATCGTACTTAAAAATGCATATTGTGGCGGTTTTATTGCACATTACGACGGTTAGACGAAAACCGCCGTATTACACCTTTTGGCGGAAGCGATTATGGCGGGTGTGTAGGACGCCATTAATAACAATTGCGGTTGTTCGGAACCGCCGCTATAAGCAAATGAAACCGCCGCAATTACCCCGACTTTTTGTAGTGCCTCTCGGGACTCCACTGATACCAACGTCAAAATATGCATAAGAAGTGCAGAAGTGTAGTATGAGTATAACCGACACAATGTACTCAGTAAGTGTCGAGCCTAATCTTGAAGGAAGTAAAGCAATGAAATCATCTAATTGCACGACGTCACCCTTCGTGCTTTTACTCTCATACTCACCATATAATATAAATGCATGGCACGGTATCATCCTTCATGACTCTCATCCTCACCATATAATATAAATATAATGGCACGACATCATCCTTCGTGTGTTTACTCTCATCCTCACTTGATAATGATAATAAAGCAATCAAGTGCACGACATCATCCTTCATGCTTTAATCCTCAAATTCACTCAATTAGTGATAACAATATGCAAATATGGAACGTCAACACCCTTTGTGTTTTTCACTTTTCCTCACCAAACAATAATTATTACATCACATACTTTAATATTAGGATAAGTCATAGTAATTCATATGAGCTTAAAGGGAGTAAGTAGATTATTCCGCTTTTGGCAACTAATTTATCTCGGGAGGCAAAGATGAGAATTTGTTTTCTACATTACACCAAGAAAGACGAGAATTTGGTAAGCGAGCCCTTACAATGAAGAGTGAGTCGGAAATAAAATTTGAAGTACATCGCTGCTTTAATAGGCAGCCTACTATTACTTTGTTCTCAAATCCAATTTCACATCATGACTCAGTCAAGGGAATTTGGTAGTATCAATATGCAATAAAATACAAGCTCTTTTCCTGTTTGCACGTGATAAAATATTGTAGAATTTCTTATACCCTACGCAAGAAAATCGAAGAATAAAAATCCTTGCAGCTGAATGATCATTTATTAGTTTATCTATGTGCAAAATTTGAAAATTAAGTAAAGTTCTAAGTCATTTTTTTAACATGTAGTAAATCCAAATAAGTTCGAACGGATTATGTTTATTAGGAGGTTATAAAAGGTATACGACATTATTATTATGAGATCCTGTAAGTTTACAACTTTGATACCGTTAGATATTATGTTAATGTGGCATTTTCTTTTAAGTGGAGTATTATAGTAAAAGTTTTATAAGCATAATTTTGGATAGTTAACATTATTACTATTTTCAAATATGGTAAATTATACACATAATATGAGAAAGTTTATAAATGAGATTTTCTTTATTTGAAAAATAAAAGTATTTTCCCACAAGAAAAGAAGGTTATCTATTTACCATGTTAAGAACTAACCGTATGAAAATTTGTACTCTTTATATGAGATTAGGAAAATTAGTAGTTAAGAAAATATGTGCTTTTTTTTTTTAACATGAATATTTTAATGAAATACTAGTGTGTATTAATTTTATATAGTACCACATGACCATATTAGTGAGGTGTATAAAGTGTATTAAAAATAAGTAAAATTTTAAGTAATTTAATACAGCTCTTAATTATGCGGGTAATTGATTAATTACCAGGTAGCGGAAGACTACCTAATTGATTATTGGATAAAGTTTAAATTGCCTAACAAAAAGATCACGTGGCAGCTAAGGGGGTAAAGAAATGAATGCAAAAGTTGGGGAAACACATTTTCTTTCATTATCAATAGAGGCTACAGGTGTATTAAAAAATGTGTTGGCATCAGATTATAAAGAAAGACATATGAATGACACATGCAAGGATTAAGTTATTTTTAAAAAAAAATTATATGACCTCCATAACTTTCCATTTGAAATTACATACTTTTTGAAACCGTGAATGTATATACACACAACAACAACGTAAATTCCCAAGTGACAATATGATACAAACGTAGATATATTGTTGTATATCGAGGGAGAACATAAGATTTAGTTGAAAAGACTTTTGTGTGGAGGTATATTGAACGAGTTGAGCTCTTGAGCAACTCGGATAATACCATTAAGGCTATCCCTTCTTACTTTTGGCATGATCCAAGTAACGATACGTAAACGTAATACTATTTCATAAGTGGTTCTACTCTTAGGAGTTAAGGATATATCTATTATTCAGTCCTATAAAGTGATATTCAAGCCTGTCTTAATATGTTAAGTAAACTAATTGCTTGTTGACTAGCAAAATGTATACAGATTAATTTAACTGTTTTGAACAATGCTTATCCAACATACCTTAAGCTTGTAGTTTATAATTTTAAGACAACAAATATTAGTTCACGTAGGTAGTTGAATTGTCCTTAAATTAGCAACAGTAATAGTACTCAACTATGCGCTCATGCACTTAAACCTATTAGTAATTTACAACTATCTATAAATATGATTTAAGCATTAGGGGTCATTTGGTTACACGGCTAAGAGATTGTGATTTCGAGATAAATGTATAACTACTTAACAGAGTAGAATTTTGTTTTCAAATTAGAAAATTTAAAAAAGAAAAATTACCACAACTATAATATAAATTTTATACTACATTGTATGGGGTAGTTTGCTTTATGAAAAGTTATACTGCAATTATAATATCGGGATTATATTTCAGAGACTAAATAATGAAGAGGCAACTTATATATACTTTTATTATAGATATTTGATTAATTGGACTGAAATAAGAATATATATATATTATATAAAATACGTGCTTGGCTTTATGCTAAATATACTTAAATAAATTTTTATTTTAATCTAAATCTTAACTTTCTTTAAGTAATTCAGAAAAAGGGAACTACTATTGAAGGAAAGTGTTCTTCCTTTATTAAACAAATATGGACTTTGATTAGAACTATAGTGCTACTTAAAATTTAGTTATGTGGGCTGGAGATTCATCTTCTTTCCTTCCCTTTTGGTGCTCCTTCTATAAATAAAGAATCTGAATGTAGAGAGATACATCGTGAATGAAATTAATGCAACAAGAATACCAAAATTCAATTAGTACTGAATAAAATAAGAGTTTCAATAAGATCGGGTTTCAACATTTGCATCAAACCCTTTAGGTTAATTATCAAAAAAAAAAAAAAGTTACCCCTTTGATGGAAGTACCACCCACGCTAAACCTGCAATTAGAAGTGAGCTCATTGTCCTCTTTAGATATTTAGAATATGTTGAGAGTAAAAATCTGAGACGTATAAACAAGTCATGGTTCTACCACTATTATTATTCACTTGAGGCAGGAGAGTATTAGAGATGCTTATGTTCTTGAATTATCATAGGTCTTATTATTCTATTATCTATAAAATCTCAGAAAAATACATAAGTTGAAAAAGTTTACTTCATGATATTAATCAGAGGTATAATGGTCTTATGACGTTCCAAGAAATTTTAGTAACGTACTTCGCATGCATTGCATTCATTTACAGGTGCAAATACCCATGACTCAGACGGCGTTATATACGCGTATATATGTATACATATGTATATGGGATATGGGAAAAGGTTACGGCGTTATATACGCATCACCACTTGATCAACTGGTATACGTTATTTGCCCACAGTGGCCGAGATGATATGACGGGATGCTCTCAGAGGCTTGATGATGTTACGTATGTACAGACCTATGCATTACATGACATTTATACGCATATGCATGATACTATAATGTCACGACCCCGGTTCGCCCTCCGTGAACCATCGTGACGGCACCTAGTCTCTACGACTAGGTAAGCCTAAAATGCGAAAAATAAATCAAATTGCGGAAGAAATAATTAAAACAGTAATAGTGAGATAAAAACAGTATTTAAAAGTGCCGCTCGGCATACACAATAACAACTCTCGAAAGCTAAATACATTTTTTCCCAAAACCTGGAATCTCATGATCACAATCCTTTGAACGTCTACAAGTATCTAACTCCAGAATGTCTAACAAGAAACGAAAGTATAGAAGGGCTAATATAAAAGGGAGAGTAGAAAGGGACTCTTCGGTTTGCGGACGCCACAGATATACCTCGAAGTCTCTATAAGCGCCTCGTCTTACGTGTGATAAGCCTGAGTGGAGGTACCTGGATCTGCACATGAACAACATGCGCAGAAAGGGCATGAGTACACCACAGTGGTACTCAGTAAGTGTCAAGCCTAACCTCGGTCAGGTAGTGACGAGGAAGGTCAGGGTCCTATTGAGATTAAATAAAACATAAGGTATGACAGTATAAGATAAAGCAGTATAGTTGAAATATAATAATAAGAATTAATACAGGATAATAAGGATAACAACATTGAAATAGAGGCAACACAATCACAAGGAATACCACTCTTTAATAACCGGGGGTCTCTCAGTATCCCGAGGATCTCTTAGTATCCTCAATATATGCCAGGGATCTCTTGGTATCCCGAGGATATCTTGGTATCCTCAATGTATGCTAGGTATCTCCTAGTATCCAGAGGATCTCTTGGTATCCTCAATATACGCTAGGGATCTCTTGGTATCCCGAGGATCTCTTAGTATCTTCAATATTCGTGCTGGGGATCTCTCGGTATCCTGCACTCCAGTTTAAGTCAAATACATACAGGGGATCTCCCGGGATGTCATCCCGTAGTCCCAAAGTAAAGCACACAGCAATAACACCAATGAGTACTCAATTAAACATCAACTTCATACCAAGGTAAAATAGGTAATTCTAACCTAGCATGCTTCACATAA